ATAAGCTTCCACATAAGCATCTCCAAAGATCTTGGTAGGATCGACTGTTTTTTCATAAAACAAATGTTAGCATTCAAGGTCAAATATTATCCATTGGGGACCTCCACACAAAGGGCATGCACTCAGCCTGTTTATACCATCAAAATTTACATTTCACAATGGCACTCCTGAATGCAGTTGACAGATCCAATTTATGCAAAGATCAATGACATACCATTCTTGAGAGTTTTCAGTGTATTGAACCAATTTTCAGTTTCCTCCAAAGAGGCAGCAACTGAGTATTGTCTTACTTCGAAGAAGGCAAATGTGGTGGCTTAAGTGCCCCTTATAAACAAACAAACAATCCTGCTCCACTGTTTGAATACAATCAGTTTAAATTTATAAATCAGATAATGACAGAAATGGGTTACTGTCAACTCTCAAGCCCATTTGGTCAGCAACTGTGCAAGATGAAAGTTTTCAGTATTAAAGTTTACTGGTTTGACTTGTTAGAAGTAAAATTTTGAACTAATTTTAACTGAGACAAAATCTGGCTCCACTGGTTTCACAGAATCAGGTTTTTTGCTCATACTTCTCAGCAGTACGTGTCACAGAACCACCCTCTATCTGTTTGCAGCAACTAACATGATTACATCTTTTTATTACACTGAGTATTAATAACAAGGTTCAAGCATTTCTGTTTTTTCCAGGAAGTTCTGGGAACTCTTCAGATGAAAGGACGTGAACTCGACAGGTTGGGCACGTCCTCTGTGTTTTAAGCCAGGGTTCTATACACTGTAAAAAGGTGGAAGAAAAATAGTTTGGAAAAAATTTGTTAAATCTCAACTTCCAGTTTGCAAACATATGACAAAAATGCTAACATAACTGTTTCTTCAAAAATAGGTAGTTAGTTTCTGAAGTACTCTGACAGAGCTGTCCACACATGGCCTACAAGGGTTAAGTTGTGGGCCCAGGGCGCCTGCTAGGCCACCACTCATCACACTGCTCTGGCTATAACAGCGGCTGGAGTTTCCAGCACCCACCCCAGGGCTGGGGGGCAAAAACAGCATGGTGCAATCAAGAGAGCTAAGGGTGACCCCTAAGACTGAGGGGACAGTGTGCATGTGTGGGGCATCCATGTAATGCATGGCCTAGGGAGGCCTATGCCTCACCCTGGTGCAGTCCTGGGCATTTGGCCCCCAGCTGCTTTGAAGTTGGACGGCTGCTCTAAAGACATGGCGTTGGGAAAATGTGGGATCTGCTTTCACGATAATACACATGATCATCTAAAAATCAATTTGTTGTGTACTAATGGTATTGTTAATACCCCTGCTCCCAGGGCCTGCTACTTAAAGAAACACATGGGGAGAACACACTGATCTTTTCAATTATCAACTTTGCTCAAGGCATGATGAAATTGCCTTTTTTGTATTGATGCTAAAAGTCTGTATAACAAAAGGCTCTTTGGAAAAAAATAATGCTTTCTTGTTCAACTGAAAAGTTTTACATCCGATGAGCAGTTATAGATGGCTTACAAGTATGTTTCTTATGATTAAAAAATTGCCCTTACCTCTCTGTGAAAACTGTGTCCACATTTTAGCACACACACAGCTTCCTTGCTTAAGTCCTCATGACATATTATGCATGGATCTTCCTCAGAGGCCTATGGATACAGACATAACATTTAAAAATTACTAAAAAGTTATCAGTTATCTGACTACTTGTTTTTTAACCCATTATACAGACTGGAATGGAACAACCAAATTAAAGTTTTATTTTTTTCCCCCATGGTACTTTTGCAACATTGAGTCACAGACTCTTCCCTGAAAATGTATGGATAACAAACCCAATTCACTAAAGAGATGTAAAAGCTCAACAACAAGTAAGAATAGCATTTCTGAGTTTACAGATTATGCAGTCAATGCTGTGAAACTAAAAAAAGGATACTACCAAATGCAGTAACGAGATACTTAGAAAGAAATAAAATTTAGGCTTTGAGAATCTATACATCTCTTGCATTCTGATTGCTACACACTTCAGTAACGGGCTTCTTTAAGTGCATTAGATACCTGTAGGTCCGTTTGTCCGTGTCACCTCTCAAATACATCTTTATACTGTACCATTTAAATAATGCTGCTACATAAATTGTATATGCTTCTAAAATAAGAGTCTAGGAGCATAACAACTCTTCAGATGAATCACTCAAAACACTTTATTTTTTCTTTAAATTTTTATCACCGATATACCTGATATCTCCCACCATTTTAAAAAGATAGCTGTGTCAGGGGTCAGCAATGTTTTTGGGCTGAGTGCCAAAAAACCCTGGAACCTTGACATGGAAGAAATTGGTGTGCCAGGGACGGATGGCAGGGAAGCCAGGAGGGCCTGCTCTTTGTTGTGGCAGCACAGCCCCTGCCCCTTGCACGCCACCCACTCCGAGGCACGTGTGCAGCTGGACCAGAAATACCAGGGTTTTGGACCTCAATGCAGCCACTGGCAGCCTGGTGGCTGCCTGCTGCAAGCAGCCTGGGCGTTGGGCAGGACCCTGCCACCCCACAGAGCCCAGGCTGCTCACAGCAGGGCTTACAGCCTTCCCACCGCCTGCTGTGACCAGCTCAGGCTTTGTGGTTGGCAGAGGCTACCGAGAGCTGGGGCCAGATGTGGCATGCCAAACAAAATGGCTTCATGTGCCATGGTCTGGCTCACCCCTGGGCTATAACTGATGCCAAACAAAGCAGGTGACCTGTTAAGTCTAGCAGCAATGCCAGAGGCACAGTACAGAGACACTTCCCCTTTTTCTCCAAAAGCTAGATTCACATTTTAAAAGCTCTCACCTAAAATATTTGTTATAGCAATAAAGTAACAGGAAAAAAAAAGCTGTCCTTCATAGTTGTGCCTATATCAGATTAATTATTGTCCTGCAGTTATCATCAAGTATTTACAGGATGTGTCATTAATTACTGCTGTACACAAAGATCTAATCTGACTAATCAGATGTTATAAAAATCTATCCTCTTCTGCATAAAAATAAGGAATCAAGACTTTAAAAAACAAGAAAAGCTTCCATCTGAATTTTTAAGATACAGTACACTTTGATTTAATTATAAACCCAGTAGCAAACGTGTCAGGGAACTCTTTTCATTTTATTATCATTTGAACATTTAAAAAAAAAAAAAAAAAAAGAGCAGACAAAACCTTACACTAGAATCTCTTGATTTTTTCCATGTTGATTTTGATGTTTCTCCAACCAATCTCCAGGGACGCTCAGCTGGCTGTAAGGGACAAGACATTTTGGTTTTGGGAGCTTTATAGGCAGGCCTTGCCTTGGATGGGCTGGACACACTTCCTTCTGCAGGCTTGGATAGCTTCTGCGTTTGTCCTGATGGAGCGGAGGATGCTGACTTTTCAGTTCTCCCTGCTGAGATCAGAGCCTAGGCAGGTGTCATTAGGAAGCTGTTGTTAATTTAAAGCAGAAAGCCATGGACTGGCCAAAAACTTGTGTCCCTTTGGACTTTTATTTCAGTTTTTAGTTACGACAAAAGAATTGAGAACATTTTTCATTGGGCAACTCTGATAGTGAAAGAAACAGTTCAACTAAAATAAAAGTGTACCTTTTTCTTCATTTGGTGATCCAAAATGAGTTCTGTCACACTGCTAAGGATTTCATTTTGGCTCAGCCCTGAAAGCGTGTTTCCTTTTTTAATTCGTACCTCTTTTATGAAATTAGTAAGGTCAAACCTTAAGAGGGAGAAATTAAATTGTATTTGGTGACAATTCTACAGCATACTGAGAAAGCAATGCTACGAACTGGTCACAGCATGTAAAAACCCTCAGCTTCGAGGCATTAGATTGATAATAATAGCTCTACACACATTTCCACGTATCACTGTGCGACTAAAGCAGTTCTCTCTGCTTGGATCCTAAAGCCAATCTGAAATAAGGAAACTAAAGCAACTAGATATTCTTGTAAAATATTCAAACTAATCTTAATGGGAAAATGAGGAAGAGAGGCAAGGAATTGTGTGGATATCTTCTATTGGATGAAATGCATGGCTGGGATAAAGAAATGAAATATGAACTTTCATTTCTAGTCAGGAACTTTTAGAGTCTTTTCTTTGATGCCCAGTGAAGGGTGTTTGTGCCCAAAAGCTTGCAACTAAGTACATTTTTTTTTTGCAAAAATCCTGTTGGTCTAATAAAAGATATCACCTCTACCATGAGCCCTGGTTGGGATAAAGTTAGACAAGCTTTCAAATGAAAGGTATGCTTCATTCAGAGAAACCTGATGAAGAATGCCTTGCCTTTACTGGCAGTTGGACCAACAGAAGATATCACCCACAAAAACTCTGGCCTCTTGCGTAATTCCTGAACCATCACAAATGCAACATTTCTTCAGCCCTACACCAAGCAGGGAGAGAAGCTTCCCTGAAATTCATCTAATCTCTTGCTGAAACAGGAGTCTCCTTGCCAGGAAACCCAAAACATTCTCTCCATGGATTTGTGACACCACAACCATCACCAAACCCACTAGAGCAGAAAGGACTTAAAAGAAAAAGATACCTGGTATAATGTGGAAATATAGTCGTTAGATGTGAAACGATATTATCAAATGCTTTTGGAACTACTTTCTTGTTTGAACCTCTAGTAGAGTCCAACTGTGCCAGTGCTGGTGGTGGATCATCTTGGTGGCTTAGCTGGATATTTGGAGCAGCATGTCCTGAAATCTCAGATGGCTGAGCTACTAGCATTTGATCAGAGCACGATCTTCCCGAAGTTTCAGAGAGTATTTTTACTGATCCACTATTTGTAGAGTAATTAGAACTTTTATGTGCTGTTTTATTTCTGCTCTGCTCATGAGGTGCAGAATGCACTGGACTTTGGTCTTTAGGGTTTGAAAATGGAGGCAGTAAGTTTGGATGCACAGGTGTAGATGAACACAATACAATGGCTGGATCATTAATAGGAGGCCTGCCTTGCAAGACCTAGAAGAAAAATATTTTTTTCAAGCATGATAAGTAGGAAATTAGTCAAATAGTATTTCTGAACATGTTAAGGCTATGGTTAATGACATGAACTGTCCTCTACTTAAGTCTTCATAGTAAGTGACAATAAGATACCATTTTATACTACCCAGTTTTACCCAGGTCATCTTCACAGCAGAAATACAAAAACTACAATACACATGGCCAAGAATGCTCCAAAGAGCATACGCACAGATGAGATAGAGCACTCTCATGGGTTAGCAATAGGAGTGGCTCTGGACACTCATTTGGTTTTAAAGAAGAATGTTTTGAAATTGGTGGTGTGCATCAGGAACCCAATAAATGGCATTTGGGTCTTCTGACTGGAGGTAGGTAAAAGTGAGTTTGTTTATTTATTTTTAATATAAGTATTTTAAAACTTTGAACGTGTGTACATTACAGAACAAATGACTGCTACAATCTCTACAGGCTATGTATAATTCCTTTCATAAACTGATCAAACTCTCAAACAAATGGGTTCCCTGCCCCTCCTACTCTATTAGAAGGCTGTTTTAAAAACCTCACTGATTTCCACCCTAGATTTATTCATGGACAGTTTATCCCATCTCAGAAAAAATTCATTTTTAATAGCAAGACATGCTAAGAAGCAGAAAATTAACACCCCTTAACTCATATGGACCCAGCAAAGTCAATAAAAGTTTTTAGTATAAGTTACTGCTTTCTGAAAGAGAGGATTAGATTTAATATTTGTGTGGAAATGTAAATTAATTTGGTTTGTGCCAAGTATAAACTTCTGTACAGCTGGTATACACTGGATAATTTTAATTTTTTCATGTAGGTTAAACAAAGTTTAAATGAAACTTTAGTAGTAACAAGCCTTAATAAAATGAAGCACTCTCAAATTGCAAGTCATGGACAACTTCTTACCGGATTCTTCAGCAAGTTGTTTTACTAGTAATCAAATTTCAAAATTTACCCATCCTGCAGATCATTATAACTCTGGTAATGTTACCTAATAGTGCACAAATCATCACTTAATAAAAAAAGCTAAAGCCAGATTTAAGTGTGTAATAAAAACAGATTGTCAAAAGGAACCATTTTGTACTCGTATGAAAGGAAGGAATATTTTAAAAATCCATAATGTCTGCCCGCCAAAAAGGTTTTGGAGCCGAGCATACTACAGAGGTGACACGATTCATTTCTGAAATAAGTTATCCTTGCACTACTCTACAGTGATATCAAGCACCAGATTGAAAAACACTCAAGAGGTAAAAATGTGAAACACAGACAGTATCCTTGCACAATGTTTCAGATGAAGAACCAAGAATCCAGAGCCACCCAACCCATGTGAAAACACGTGCCCAAGTTGAAACAGAACCCATCAATCCCAGAGTGGTCTTGTCAGCCATCTTCAGACCCACAAATAAGGCAATCATGGAAGATAACTATCCACAACTATGTGGGATTGCCAATAATGATGGGATATAGAAATGAAGCAGCATTGTTATGAAACACAAGAGATGTGTATAAATGAGGGCAGAAAGGTACTTAGAAAAAAACCCCAAGATATTCCCAAAGGTGCAAGATTAAATGGTTAGTACGTACATGCACGAACCATTCTGAAACGTTTAGTTTATAATGTCTCCTGTATCCAAATCCAACAGAGCCTTGATTTTGAAAGGGTTTTCTAGGTACAGAGTATAAGCAACAACAGACGAAGAGGAAAACAGTTTATATCCAAACCAAAGCCCTGGGCACGTTATAGTTATCATATGATTAATGGGTTTATCGTAGGATTAACAAGAACAGAGCTATGTGTTCAGCTAACTTATGGTTCCATAAAATGAAAAACTAGCCACAAAGCTATCCCTCAAAAAAATGGGAAACCTCTCATGTGCATGGCACCATAAATTAAACGCGTGGCACTGCTATACCAATGCTGACAATCAGCTGATGATTGGCATGGGGTTGAGGAGGGTCGGCATTAGGACCAGGGCTGCTCTGATCCTGATAGCAAAGCCTGGCTGGCAGAAGAGTGGGCTGCAGGAGTTCCCTAGCAGGGAAAGGTGAAGCTCTCTAGTCGCTGGGAACCTGGCAATTCCTGAGCCCAGCAGCCTTTCTTGCCTTGCCTTGCAGCCCCTGCTGGAAGAGTTGAGATAAAAATTCCCTTATAAAGTTGGCTGAAGACTCAGTTTTACTAAGGTCTCTGAAGGGAGAAACCAAACATTCAGTTCAGTCTTACCCATCACAACCAACTCTCTCTTTATACCATCACACGAAAGCAGGAAGAACAGAATATATACATGGCCTTGTACCCGTATTCAAATTCCCCTGCTCTCACATGCATGCACACCTTCAGCTGTTATCACAGAGCTTACTGGTACATACTCAAGGAAGGTTAATAGTTTCATTTGCTTCTCTGACACAGAAAAAGGAAGATTATCAATAGCTACAAGATGCTTACTGAGACGCTAGGAGGAGGCTGAAGGTCTCGAATTTGTACTTTAGAGAGATCATTTAGCACAGCACCATTTTTCACCATATGGATTCTCTCTTCATACTGGGTCTAAAGAAAAACATGAACAATTAAAAAAGATCAATAAATGCTACCAGATTCTGTGGGAGACAAAACATCTCCTATGATACAGAAAAACCTGATTTTTCTATTTGATATCCTAATAGGTTAAAAAAGATAAGTCATTAAAGATTTAGAATTACTGAAAATATTTTCCCTGTGCACCCCAACTACTTTAAATTGTTTTTTTCTGCAAACAATTTACCCATTTGCAGTCTACACCCTCTTGCCCCCAAGTAGAAAACTCCCCAAAAGTTAGCTGCTAAGTTAAATGTGAAAAGATGGTTAAAACATTTGGCTTGCAATGTTGCCAATGAAGCATTAAAATCTGCATGAGAGAACACTCATGCCTGAATGAATCCTCACTGAAATCAATGGGTGTTAGTGGACCGCTACATGGCTGCCTGCACAGTTGGCAGGGCACTTTCAGATCTAAGCCCTTTATGTTCTTTTATTTAAGTAAATATATCAAAATAGTACCTATTTGAGATCTGTTTGCAACAAGAACTCTTCCTTCAACCAACTCGCAAAGAACAGAAATATTAAATTGTAAAGGACATATTTAAGAATATCCAATGATCTGCAAACAACCCCTACCAAGTATACATTGTTTTGCTTAACCTAACCACTGCATACGCAACTCAGTTTTGCATTTTGGTAAGGAGAAAAATTAAGACCCCTCATATAGGAAAACTGAAGAGTAGACTTACCTCTACTTTCTCAATTTCTTTCTTGATATCTGAATGAAATGTTTCCCACTCATCTATCTGTGACTTCAATTGAGGCGATGGTGAAGCAGAGCTGCTGAGATATTTCAAATCTGCCATTAAATACACTATCAACAAGTTTGTATGAGATTTTTTTAAACAGATAAATCAGTATATTTTCTAAGCCTTCTTTTCTCCTCCTAGGCAAGTCGAAACTAAAACTTCAATCAAACAGAGTTTTATCTGATGATGGCATCAGTGACAGTCTGATGCATCTGTCCAGTTTTTGAATGTAAGAGTGTGTGAAAGTTATGAATGACATTTATTATGAGTATGTATGGTAATCTGAACACTTGTTAGTTTGTTGTAATGTAAATGTATAACTCCATTAATCAAAACAAAACAAAACAAAAAAAAGCCTTAAAAGGAAATAAAATTGTATTAAAACAGAAAACAAGATCTAATTACTGAATGTTTACATTTGCAAATGAAATCTAAGATACAGGTAACATCCTAGATGCAGTGCTGTCAGTTACATAGTTATCAGACTCATTTTAAATCAACAATCTTGTTTTTATTTAGTAACTGCTGCAAAAATTCTAGTCACATTACATGCCACTTACCTGCTAATTACCTTTAGCCATTTAAGATTTGCTTCTGCATTTGAAACTATGCTGCATAACTTGCATACCTCAGCAGTCTTCCAGTTTTCAAGTACTGACACCTACAATTAAATGTGATGACTGTAAAAATATACACTGCAAGTGCTTTCCTAGCATAAGCAACAAAACCAAGTTATTCATCTCAATTCAACCTCAATCTGTTCTTTAGTCAATGCACTGACCTGTGGTTTTTATAATGCACTGAAGTAGATTTCTAATCAAGAAAGGTTAGCTGTAGAATACTGCAGTACTGAGTGAGGTATTGTATAAGAAAACAGTTTTGCCAATTAGAGGTGTATCAGTCCACATTGTATTGGCACCGATAAAAAGAAAATTGGTATCATCAGCAATTGATTTTTTTAGCTGATGTGCACAATAATGTCGCCAATAAATGTGGTGTGCATGTGTGCAGCCACAACATGCATGCAGCTAGGAGCACAGCCCAGCAGCTTTGAGAGCAGTGTCTGGCCAGTCAGGCTGTTGGGAGGGGAAGGGTATGGGGGGGGGGGGGGGGGAACAGGGCCCCCGGGGGGGGGGGGGGGAGGGGGCGGGGGCACAAAAAAAAGCC